TTTTTTCTCTTTTATCTCAAGCGAATCGCAAGCCCACATGACATGAATAATCGAATGAGCAATGCGATTTTTTAGTTACGATGAATGATCGATGTTTCAAATGCGCACCTAATGAATTTATGGACGTGTCCATTAAAAAAATATGTTTTTTCATGTTTTTTTTCTCCATATTGCTTTTTTGTGAGTTTTTACTTTTTCCGAGCGAAAGAATGTGATTCAACTATATAAAATATGTGCGAACTGTCCTGGGATTGAGAAATAAATAAGTTTTAAGGGAATTCCTGCTTAAATTGTGTGATTGGCGCACCCATACAATCACCGTCATTATTCCGATTATAAAATCATTAGAAACCATAAAATTCGTCATAAAAACGAATGCTCTCGATTATTTCTCTGCAAAACGGATAATCTTTTGTTGGTTAAAAGTTTGATGTTATCTTTCATCACATCATAAAAGTTTCGTTTTTTTAATAGTGTCATAAATTCATTTTTTCAAGCGAATTTTTTTTCAGCGAAATATCATCCATCGTATCGTATGTTTTATTAATTGTCAAGTTCATAAACGCTTTTCAATACGAGATTGCTTTCCAAATGGAAATACATAGAAGTTAAAATTCATTCGATAGAATTCTCGTACTGTTTTTGTTGACAGTGCTGTTTCTTCTTTAATTCATATATTTTATATCAATGAAGAAGAAGAGTTACAACAGTTCGTAGTGTCTGCCGCCCCATGATTGAATTGAGTGCCAGCTATTCAACATATAGTTGCAATATATGTATATGAAAGTCGATATATGAATTAAGGGACTATTGCAAGCTGTTAGTTTTTGTCTATGTACTAAAAAAAAGCTTAAACGATCTCTTCGTGCAACATTCGTTTCGTATGAAAAACGATTTAGAAATCCTATGCATTGCGGAAAACAGAAAGTGAACATATTCATGTTCAATGCAAAAGAGTAAGAGAGTGAATCAGTTGGATACATGGTATGTATGCGCATTTCCCGTCGTAGTCGACAAGCTCTGGTTCTCAATTATGCTCTATCTCTTTCTTGCAAAATTCTATTTGCATTACATTTATAGTAAATTAAGTTATATTCAAGAATTGTATTAGAAAAACTTTTCTGCCATTGAAAAGCACCAAAGCAATTTACTCAATCAAAATAGAGAAAATACTATCAAAGCGAAGCCACAAGAATAGTTGAGTGAATTGGTTGCTGAATTCTCGTACTTTTCTTCCTCTCGCCAAGATCAAGCCATCAAAAATGGAGTGAAGAAGATAACATGCGAGAGCTAGAACATAGAAATGTGTCAAACGTTTGCAACACGAAACACGATTTCTATTTGCCGTTTTCACTTGTAAAGACTGCACACATTTAATGTTCATTTCAGGATCTTTGAATGTGTATTTTTCTGTGTCGGTGGCACTTGATGTGATTCGATTATTTCTGAATTTCTTTACATTAGCTTTCGAGTTCTGTTTTCTTTTTTTTTTTGTATTCTCATGATTTACGATTTCACCTAAAGTTTTGTGCGCATTCAATGTGCATGTGCGGTGATAGAGAAAGACGAAAGAGCAATGATAAGAAGTGATGGCTGAGGATGTACTCGAACTGCACGTTAATAATAATAATAGAGTGAGAGTGAGAGAGAGTCTTGGATACGATGTGACGTTGTTATATTTTTCACCCTTCTTCTTGGCTATGTCGATGGAGCATTGCAAAGCGATCTCGAATGCATCAGAAATGCAATTCAAGTAGTATGTACTGTATATGTGTGTGTATAAATATAAACTATAAAGTGGAACAGCCAATTCGACGTTCAACCGCCATTACAATCGAGACTCAATAGCGTTGTCATCCGTTCGATAATGCCATTATTTATAGCGTAAGACCGTATGCTTGTGTTGACATTGCAATGTGCTAACGTCACTTTTCTGTAAACATGCACGCATACAAACACAAACACTAGAGCATGATGCATTTTTCCCTTTAGATAATTAAATTCCTGGCTGTTGAACATCTATTGGCAAGATTTCACGTTTCGTTAATGCCTAAACTTTTAACACACAGTTTCAACCTTAACAGAAAGATAGCCAAACGGAACAAGTGACAAACATACTTACAAGCAAATATTAGCCGCATGAAAATGTTTGCATTAAGTTACTAAGCTTATCGAGAGCATTATCTATGTATATAATGCATTTAAGTGTGTGTTGGATTACATTGTCTATGCATAATATACTGCACACTGACCACTGCCGTCCACAATTGAGGGCGCTGCCGGGCATTTTTGTTTAACTCGAAATGCTTCAAACTTCAAAAAAAACACCACTCTCCTTCTCAGAGTGAAATACAGCTCAATGTTTGAACATACGAAAACAAAAAAAAAAAAACCAAATGAAAGGAATTCAAAATACATGCATCGGTGTTCAGAGAGTCATGCGATCAACAGGGCAGGGTCTAAGTTCGAACGTTCAAATGTTGTTTACAATACTGTGTTCACATTTTTATTATTTTTTATTTCAAAAGCATTCTTCTATTGCAAATCCAAAGAATAAAACCGTCGAAACTCTTCTATTTAGACCAAAAATACAAATTTCAAAGAGCAGATTGACAGAAAAAAATGACTTTTCATGCTTGAAGTGTCATCTTGGCAATGAGAGACAACACTATTTAATTTTTTAAAAAAGTTTCAAATTTGGTGAACGTTTACTGAAATGCCTTCGAAAAGTACCGAAAAATTGGCGATAAGTTCTTAAAATCTTATTACATCAATTGAGGAACATGTACAACTATGTTAAACATTGATTAATGGTTGTTTACATAATAAAAAAATGTATTCAGCAAATAGTTGGACGGATGTGCAGTTCGGCTGTACGAAATTAATGAAACCGCACGCGCTACACGATTTTTGTTGATTTTTTTTTTAATTATGTGTATTCTACTTATTTACAACATGTTATTGCTGCAATTAGCAGTGCTATGTATTTTTTAATGAGCAAACATTGAATTCCAAAGCTTAAATTCATTTTTTTTCCGCTGCAAATATCTTTGTTTGGTGAGTTTCGGTCGAGTTGCATTACAAGTGGTGGTGAGTTGCTTCTTGCAGTTGCTTTTTAAAGATTGGCTTCCAGTAAACATTTTCTTTTTCTCCCCATTATTCATCGTCACTGGCAAATTTCCGAGTTCATTTGTGATTCGTTTGCATTCACTTGGATGCACTTTTTCCTTGCATCCTTGTTTGTCTGCTGGAATGTGGAAAAAGCCCTACATTTGCTTTGAAGCCATTATCGGATAAATTGACATGAAAATGTGCGCACAGTGTAAACATTTTCATTTGCCCGCATTTGCCGAAATTCATATATTATTACAATTGGTGTGGTATAAAATGTTTTCGTTAACACAATCGACACATATCTTTACTTATTTTGATTCCATGACGATGTCTGTTGTTGATATTCATCGCTTTTTATCGACGCACCCGTCCATTTGGTATGTATATTTGCTTGCGCAGAGTGGAACAGTGCTATCAGCATTTTACTCATATTTTTGTTCCTCATTCAAATTGAAAAATGGTTTGCATTCATAATCTGATTGAATTTTCATATCGTGTACTGTGTGCTTTTGTTTGTTTTTTGTGCGCGCAGGAAACGAAATTGAAAATCTTCAGGTATTAGACATGGTGGCGTTGGAATATATCAACAGTTTTTTGTTTCTGTTCATTTTGCTTCGAGGCGCTGTGCTTTTGTTTTCGTTTTTTGCTGGTTTTGTTATTTTCACGACTTTAGCAGCCATTGGGGTTTGGCATTGCATGGCTGATTTTCTTTTCGCTACAATTCCAAGCGCAAATGCATCAATGTTGCCATGAGATACAATAACAACGACATACCCATACATATATTTTGTGCCATTTTTTTTCTATGAAAATAAAACGAGCGGGATAAAGGAGTTGAATATGCGAGAAAACGATGACGACGACGACGACAGCCAGAACGATTCAGAAACGAAAAAAAGACAAACACTGAAGCATCAATGCGTCTAGAATATCAATATGGACATTGTGTAGCTTGTCGATGCAATACGACGACGGTTATTTTGCTGATTGCCGCCAACTCTATTCTACCGGAAAATGAAAACCATTTCGTTACTCAAGCGACTTTAGCGCTGAAAAAAAAAATAGTAACCAACTACTATGCACAGACACATTCGCCTCACTCACACAAAACACTTATCGAGAAAAAAATAAAAATTTGTTTGGCACCAAAACGATTATCGGACCATTTCTGTATGTTATATTTCAAGCGATTTTGTTTCAATTTATTTTTTTTCAGAAATGGATTTCCTTATGTGCATTGTTTCGATCGGTTTTCGTTCACCTCTTGTTCGACAATTGAAGTACATGTGTGTGAATGCGAGGGTTGTTGGTGTGTATTTTTCTGTTTGCAAAACCATACCTGTGAGCGAAAAATCACCAATCGATTCGCAACAAATTTACGTGAGCAATGCTAACATTTGACAACCAGAAAAAATGTGTAAGACACAATCGAGAGACATATAAACATTGGCGACAAAATCTAGTTTCAATCCATTCGCGTCAATATACCACTTTCTTTCGCTTGCACATTTCCAATTTCTGCATTTGTTTATTGTTTTTTTTTCTCTTGTGATAGACATTTTTTTCTTCGTAGAAATGTTTTAAATCGTCTCGTATATTCTTTTCTATGGTTTTTTTAGTCCAATGTTTTTCGGGCAGCTTTGCTTCTTTTTGGTATTTATTCCGGTGCAGCACATCAAGTCATGGCGATATTATCCTCTTATTGTCACCCATTCACAACTTAAAATTGTGTGGATAAACAATTGATCTATTTTTTTATTCTTAATTAGCAGACGGTTTGCACAATTCTCTCACAATAATTTCAGTTCCATATTGTTCGATTTTATTTATTAAAATCAATTGGAGTATCACGCATGAATAAAACAAATTTCTTTTTCTCTTCGGAACAAGGCACAGAGTTTTTATTTCAATTATTTCGAACTTAAAATATAAATGTATAAAAACAAAAAAAAATCGTTCTATGCGTACTTCAGAGCTGTTTTTGTCGTCGAAACCGAGTGTGATTATACGTTTAATGGAAAAATGTGGAATGAAAATATGAAATTACAAGTACGTCTCGTTAACATGTTTCTCGATAAAATCATAAAAAATTCATTTGGCATTAAAATCGTCAATAAATTGTCTCTATTGTCAATTGAAAGTGGATTTGGATCGGTTATTACATAAACTTTAAATGTTAAACTTCAGCATAACATATCCCTTTTGTCATTTGATATACATATGTAATATATAAGGTAGTAAATGCTTTTCCTATAATAAAACGGATGATTATTAAAGAACACGAATTTTCAATGGAACGAACAAAATTTCACACATATACCACTAATTTTCTTTAAAACTACGCATTAAAAATGTTAATTGAATTTAAAATAAAAAAATTAAAAAAAAGAAGAAGAAAATCATAAATTTATTATGAACGTTGGACGTTAAATGTGTGCAAAAATGTCGCGTATGTTAGTGAATGCATTCTCATGCACATATTAGTCTATGTTGGGCAGCAAGAAACGTTCCTTCATTTCAAAAGTATAATAGCATAATAATAATTATTGTCTGTAGTTTCTGGCCTCATCCTCTTCCTTTTTAAGTGCCTGAATTAAAACGAAGCTTAGCACCACATTTATAACCTAAAATCAACGAGAGAGAGAGAGAAAGAGAACAAAAAGAATGAGCAAATGGAAAAAAATGCACAAGTTCATATTTCAGCAATGCAACCGGAATTTTCAACATTTTTATTCTGCCGTTGCATTTTGTATCCATGTGCATTGTGCAAATGATAGACTATGGCTTTTATATTATTGTATAGAATATACATATATGTATAAATATATTTTTGAAATGGAAAATTACATAAAATGATTGCAATGATAACTTGAAATGGACGATAGAGATAGATAGAGAAAGTAGAGAAGAAAAAAGCAAATTCAATGTTTTGGTTTATTTGGAGCTGAAAGCTCCACGAGATAACCACATGTGGTTTCAATGCAATTGAAATTTTCAAATAACCACATATTTTCCACATCGAACATTTCAAATTAATGCAAACGAATAAAAAAGAACGAAAAAAACTAAGCCTAATGATTAAAAAATCGCGGAAAAATGGTTTGTTTTAATGTTCAGAAATGTTGGGGTTGGAACATAAAAAAGATGCCAAAGATAGACATTTCCATCATTTTGCACAATACTCATAACAACTAGATATAAAATTGAATCTTTTCAGAATTCATTCGGTTTTCATTTGCAATCCATACGTACTTGAATGAGTGCAAGTGTCATCGCCAATCCGGCAACCCAACCACTTTTATCCTCAAGTAGCCAGGTCAGCTCATCAACACAGCCATGGAAAAATGCATTACCCGTTACAGTGTCCCGACATGTTGATGGCAATGGTTGACGCATAATAATATAGTCATTAGACCCATCTGCACCGCAGCAACCAATCTGGATTGGATAACGTTTTTTTTTTTTCATTCGTTGTTTGTTTGTTTTTGACATTGCATTGAAAAATGTGTGTTGGAATAAGCGAAAAGCATTTGTATTTCAATTGTCACATGGCAAATACGGTTTGCAGCATAGAATGAAGACACACAGCCGAGACGAGCAAAAAAAAGAATTGAAAAAAAATGTTGTCAGAAAATGGTTAAAATGGAACATAATAAAGAAAATAAAATTCAGAAACTCATATCGCAAAACCGCTTAACAAGATGTTAACAACGAAAAACCATTTTACTTTTCTCTTCTTTACTTTTGTATCATTTCGTTCTAATTCGGTTATCGATTTTATTATTAGATTTCGTATACGTTTTCATCTGTCTGTCATCGTTCGCAATTCGAGTGTGTTCTAATGTCTATGCATCTGATGTACTTACATTTTCCTGAATCATTTTCAAAACGGTCGTTGATTGAGGTGTAGACGATGACATGATTAAACGTCTCATTGAGTCACGAATGAATGGCTGTATGCTTGAATTTAGTGTACTGTAATCCAATAGAACAGCCGATCCAGCCACATGTATGATGAATGCTAAACATTGCGTTCCAATAAACTGTTGATGTGCACATCACCGTTTCGAAATCATGTTGATATTTCGTTTTGTGTGTTCATATCGTTCAGGCGTGAGACGGTTTAATGATGGCCACAGTAAAAAGTCCACGATGATGACGGTTTTATTGTATTTGATAGGCGATTCAGGCGCAGATGAGGGATAAAAACAACATGTAATTTTATTTATTGTTTCGTAATGTGTTTGCACAAAGCACACAAACGGTCAGCGTTGTCGTCATCGTCGTTGTCATCCGCATGATGAATTGAAAAGCAAAAAAAAAAACACAAGAAAAAAGAGAGAAATTGTTTGAAAAAAAAATATCGAAGTCGATTTTTTTTGTGGGGACTTAAAAATAGTAGAACCATCACATCACACCAATGATATACAGTGGAGATAAAGATTCCCAAAACTGGTAATTTTTATTTCGAATTCGTTTTCAGGCAAGAAGGTACATTGATAATAGAAAATAAGTAACCGAAGAGATTACTATCGTATAATCAATTTGTGTTTAAACAATTTGGAATTTACTGAATGAGCATGTTCCATTCATTGACATTTCATCGAATAAATGGACATATGAATTCAGTGAGTAGCTCACGGATATGTCACTCAATGTACCCATTATCTGCTATGTCTATACTTACAAGACTCTTATTGTGTTGCCTTTGAAGGTGTGTATAGAACTTTGTCAGATACTCTCATCGAATATACTTACTTCATCGATTCCCTCCACTCGGTCTACTCTCTTGTAAATTGTCCAAGAGTGGATCGTGTGGAAGAGGCAGACTGCTTTGACGATAAATAATACAGAATCTATTAAATAAGAAAATGCTTACCAAAAACAATCCCTGCGTATGCTCCATTAGTGCACTGCAACAGCCCAAAAATGATACAATCAATATTATCACCGAAGCAGCAATTAAAATGTAAATGCCAACATAGTAAACGTATATGTCTAATATTTGGATCCATTCTTCAAAACTTTTCTCCGCACGAATCCATACCGTTGCAATGAACATTCCAGCACCAATTATCTGTATAATGTAAAATCATTTATCACTATTATTAACTAATTTCTATCCTCTTCGGTTGTGGACACCAAAAATTCAAATATGGTAGCATATTTAGTGGACCCATGTTTAAGCTAGCAAACCAACTGCTGATAAAAGTAGTATTCGTAAAATTATGACCGATCATTGTACCAGACTTTATGATAAAGTATAGACTATCAGCGGCTAGTTAATGGCTAGTCGCAATTCAGCAACTGCTGAGCAGTTGGATCGAGCATTGGTGTGATATCAACACAAAAAGATACAGTGACAAGTGCACGCCTATGTTATGTGCACATACAATCAGTATCAGAATACGGCTTAAAAACTAAACCAGATAAAGGCAAAAAAAAAACACACACAAACATTTTAGAATAACAGCATGAGAAATGTTTATTTGTCATTTATGCATAGTAAAACGCTTTATTTGCGCAATGAAATGGGAGAAAAACGGTCAGGGTGTGTGTGTGTATGTCTGTGAATGTATACATTTAGCCACGAATTTTCAAATCCAATTTACTGCATTTCAAAATAACCGTCATGTGCACGTGTTGCCAGTAGTGTGGCTAAAAAACACATGCATTTTTGTTTACCTTCATCCAACCTTTGGTACCAAAATCGTTTTCTCTCTCTCTTTCTCTCTGACGTTATATGTCTCTCACTACCGTTTGCTGTGCTCATTTGACTAAATACATTCATTCAAACGCACGCACGCATGCACCCTCTCGCATGCTCTCTCTCTCTCTCTCTCTCTTGGTCTATCTGATTCTCTCGACGTCAACCTCTAAGAGTCAATCGATTTGTTTGTACATTGTCTGGCGGTTAAGAGGATTTATTACAGCATTCCAACGAAAATACCAACAAGTCAAAAACCATATTTTCTAGTGAACATACATATGTAGAGCACATTTTGTATGATTTGGCACCGTTTGTTCAACATCATTCGAAAACCATGCAATTCGACAATTCTCATGTTTGCTTTAGTCTTTCTTTCATTCTCTCAGTTGTGTTCTTGATTATTCTTTTGCATAATTTCTGATGTGGCATTGCATTGAATGGAATGCATTTGTCATGAGAGATGTTTTCGAACATTTTAAATTGTCTTTTGCTTATAAGATATGAATTTCATTCGACCAGCATTCACGAATAACTTATGTACGTTCTTGTCAAATGTGATAAAGGAATTTGAATGTTGTACCCTAATAGAAAAAAGTATATATCACACATATAACACACATTCAGATTGAAAACACACTAACCAGTAAAGATTTCTAGTCGAATTCCATAAAATGACCACTTAACTTAAATACATTTTGAACTTGCCCACTCTTCTGCAAATCGCTTTTGATTGAGAAATGATTCAACAATATTCAAGTATAAGCGTCAGAGCGTTTGATAACTTCAGATAGAGTTTCTTTGTATATTGAAAAGAAAAACTGTTTATTTCAACTAAAGCATTAATGTAAGCGAATGGTTCAAAATCTGAGTGAAGAATTGAAAATTGTCATGTATGAGAGACGAACTTTTACTGGTAAGAAATTCGATTTAAGTGTGCCTTAGTCATTTTCGAATTATATGTATACAAACATCGAAGATGCGTTATTTTAATTAAGTAACCAGTAAAATGAATGAAATTTTAATGAAATCGCATCCTATGCTCATCCACAACTCCAAATATAAACACAGAAAGCGAAAATATCTTAATCGCAATGCCTCACAATAATATTGTGTATCATCTATGCCGTTCGCATAATCTAATCTGAATTAATGAAGCATATATTTTGACGTTTCCTTTTGCCAATCCATTCACTTGTGCATAATTTTACACAGACCCTCAAAATTCTATATCTCAATCTATCTCACAGGCGCACACAAAACAACGACTATATAAACACCCATACAGAACGTACAAAACATTTAAATCATGTCGTCTTGTGCCAACTGTCTCGTTCAAACTCACACATTCGCACCCATGCCACTGTCCATTCTTATAGTTTTTCCACATGATGTGTGATGCGTAGTGGTATAGAGCGACAGTATTCCAGAACCACAGTAGATCCAGTAAAGTAATTCTAAGAAATCAGATACACATCATCAACAAAGTCATATTCGTAATAATAACCATATTACTTATTTATGTATCTGTGTTTATTCATTATTAACGGCACTATTGTTATAAAATCAAACATTTCGACCTCGTCCAATTGTGTGTTGTTGTTAATTGTAAACTTGCTAGTAATTAGTTTAGCATATGTGCACAACATTTTCAATTCACATTGATTTTCTTGTCACCAAGATCACTCGTTCTCTGTCCCTATGCCGTGCTATATTGTTATTCTTCATTGTTCAACGCGTGTATATATGTGCGGCGGTGAGAATTTCTTTATGGTATCTTTATTATTCGTGGATGAGCATTCTGAAAGCAAATCATTCAGTGGCAACCAAATGAATTTACCGAATAGAAAAGTAATTTAGCATCTGCCCTATCTGATTGAAATGCCTAAGACATTCTCAAATCGCAAATGTTGAATTGAATTTTTTCAACATTTATTTCGGACAAAAACCGTTCGTTGCATTTCCATTTGTTAATTGATAGCACTTGCGTTCATTCCCTTGCTCGGTCGGTACGCCGTCAAGAATGATTGATTTGATAGCATTTTTCAAAGTGAAACAGAACGAAAAATTCATGCAAATTCTATATAGTTTGGATGTTCATCAACCGTAAACGAGTTTGATCTAGATTTAGGCTTGGACGAACAACCAATACATACCATAAACGAATGAACGCCAAAGAAAACATATTAGTGAAGTTTCTTTAAATGCTTCATTAAATTGGACTGTACACCCGAAAAGTTTATCTCTAAGTTTTTGAATATTAAATGAACGATGATAATATAGCAATAACAATGAGCCCAAGTAAGATGGGATGAATAAAGCTCTCTGTCTATTTTTCTCTCATTCAATCACCAAATTTTTCGCTCTCGGTTGGCCGTTCTCTCATAGTTGCAATCAAGAGAAAAACAAGATAGGCAAAGTAAGAGGTCGAAATAAAGATCAAATAATGAAAATGACGATGGTGGACCAATTCATTTTCTAGATATTCGTCACTATTACACCAGACATATTTTGTGAATATCGGGTTCATCGTTATATGCATAATTGTTGGTTTGGAAAATACAATTTCACTATTTGCCGTCGATTGGATGCCGAGGACGGAAATGAATATCGTTGGCAGAAAATATGCATTAAAATACACATGCAAGCCTACCATAATCATCTTGGAACGTTCATTGTGCATCATTTGAATATAGATTTGAGCTGTGTTATCATCAATGTGCTGCCAACGAACATATGATATTTGTATGAGATGAATATAGGCTTGATGTTTTGGATGAATGTCTACCTAGGATGAAACCATCATGTAGGACACCCCATCTCCCTTTCTCTCTCCATGATTTGCAGACTATATGCAATCCGACCGGTGAAAACATGAAACGTCATTTACAGCAATTTTTACCATTGTAGCGATACTACAATCGTTTCGTATGTCTCTATAGACATAGCAGTTTCAAAAATATATGCCTATTCTTCGTTAAATGAGAAAATAATGGTTTTTTATGGTTTTGTTTTTGTTGTTATTATATATCCATCAGTATATTTGAAATTCATCTGCAACACATTTTCATGTGTCGAATATGAGAATATGTTCGACATAAAAACACTTATCATTATTATGGAAACATTTCGCTTTTACAGACAAAGATACAGAAATGGATAATGAAGCGGTCGACTTTAACAATTGATGCATGCCTGATGTCAGCAATTTTGAGATTCGTAGCGAATGCGTTTGTAAGTCTCTGTGTGTGTGTTTTACATAGATTCATTTGGTGTTTACTTTAAAAATGTTTTTTTTTTCAATTTTTTGAGACTCAAATCTCACCGACATGTACAATATTTTAGCCTTATTTTTGTGTATATTTGTTTTGATTTTGTGTCCGAGAATTATGAAAATATTCAACAATGCACTGCAATATTTGATGCCCATTTCGGAATAAATGCATGATGATAATCAAGAAAATAGGAATATTTAGATATGAAGCTTTTGATGTTTTGATTCAATTTATATGATAAGTGGCTATAGTAAGCTGCTGATGCTGCTCTATCATTGTGGCTTTTCAAAGAGTTTTGTTTACCAAATGGGTCAGTTCTTAAGAGTTAAGAAATGTTTACTGTACCCATTGGATGTGAACTTTGATTTACAAAATGGAATTATGAAACCATACAATCAAGTTTGCAGATGGTTAGTATTAAACCTCAGAAATTGAATCGATGACTTGTGAACCGAATCAAATTCTCTCTCTCTCGTCTATGTTTCGGTTTATACAGTTTTGCAGCCGAAAATTTTTGCCAGTTGCCGAGAATGAATTCCATTTGAATAATTTCTTTTTCTCTGTCTCATCTTCTTCTCTCTGCACATTCAAATCTTGAAGGTAAAATTAAAACCCATGAGATATTCAGGCATTCAATTAATGCAGAATATATATGGTTTGGATGTGTATTAGAGTGCTTCAAATTTGAAATTGAAATACATAGATTATTTTCATCGAATTTTATCATCATTGGAGCGTTATTTTCAAAAGCATATGTGCATGTTGTGTGCATACACCCTAATGCAAATGTGAATAATGCCATGTTGATAAACACCGTATGCGAACCGAATGCTAGTAATAATCATATTGCAAAATGAGTAGGGCCTGGCAGTGGCTTGCCACATATGACAACAATATTGCCTACTAGATGCTCAATGATTGCATGTATATTAACAACGAAAGAAGCTTCCTTTCTCTCGAGTGATGTTGTTGTCGACTCGAATTACTTTTTGCCTTTCGGTGTGGTTTAATATCCAGTTGCACATACGCACACGTACACATACACGTACATATTCATATATGCAGCCAGAATTAGCTAGATAAAAGTGAAATACTCTGTTGAGCGCCGCACTGACCAATAACATATTTTGGTTGAGATGATTATATTCTGGGTTTCATCGCGCGGTACATCGTTTTTCATACGGTTCAACATAATTATGGCATTTTGATTAACTATCTACTTTTGAGCTTAGAAATGCTATGGAATTCGCTGCATTTTTTGTACCATCCTTTTGAGTGGTACTCAATTTCTTGTGCACAGTATGTACCTTAATCCATGCATGACTCACGTTTTATGGAAATTGAAATGACTAATCGATTGACTATAGATTTATATATATATCTATGATATGAGCAATGTCGTTTATGCGAGAAATGTCTGCAAACTGTCATGCATAATCCATACATATGGATTTTCTGCAAATATACTTATACTTTGACGTTAGATTTGTACGCCTTTGACGTTTGAGTATGCGTGAATATCTATGAATGCGTATTGTATTGGAATTGTTTGAAATATTCTCCGTTCAAATATATTGGAATATTGATGGGATTCCTTATGACGTTTCACATTTTTTTTCATTAGTATTGCGATATTGTTGATCTTTCCAATTTTGGGTAACATATAAAATGAAAATAACATTTCTCCAACTCTTTTCTATTGAACAATGTGCGAGAGGCATTCATAATTTACCCATGTAGATTGTCTGACTCTGTTCTTGTCGAAAAGAATAATTGAATGATTGAGAATAATAGAGGGAATAAAAGTCGGGAAACTGCTTATCTTTAGCAATTTACTGATAAGAGATGAGAGATGACTCGACTTTGAGTAAAAAATGTGTGACCTTAAATTTGATCAAAGTCAATAAGGACATAAGTTCGAAAGGTTCAAAATTCCCATTTTTATTCACATCAAATCTCATTTTTTATTAGAACATCGGATCGAAGCCCATTGTATTTCATTTAACAAAGTCACAAAATAATTTGGCATCGATTTGAAACCTTGTGATGTGAAAATTTTCCATTTTATTGTGATATAACCGAGAGAGTGAGTGCAGCATGTGAAAACTAATAATTTGACATCAGCCAATGAGCAAACTAATTTCGAAATGGATTTTGTCAACCACAACATGGCACATTGTATACGTTTTGCAGAAAGGTAAAATATGAAAATATAAAATCAATGTCAGCGTGGGTGCAAATGCGTATAATCATTCAAAGCAGCAAAACGGTTAATCAAAGTAACCGCATACATATGACAGAATTTTAATCTCGCTGTGTATATATGTGTGTGTTTTTTTCTCCATTAAATAGTTTGAAATTGAATCCGTGAAATGCACAGCGTACAATTTCATTGTGGCAACAAACAAAAAAACGTTTCACGTGTATGCATACAGGAATTGGATTTGTCAATTTCGTCTTTCATCAAATTAATACATTCATTTATTCAATCATTTCGTTTCGACTGCATAATATGTGATTTGTTCGGCTTCATTTTCGTGCTTTGTCACTTTTTCTATTATCCGATTCACATAAATAATATGAAAAATGAATCCTTTTGAGCACCCATGCATTTGAACAGACAAAAAAAATACAAGCAAAAAATCATATCGTCAGTTGATTACGTGCAGCACGACTGTGACGAATTTCTACGTTTTACGAAGGAAAAGCAAGAATAATAATATAAAATTGCATAGTCAAAGTAACAAAAACGAAAGAAGAAAGAATTTGGTTCAAACGAGTTCATTGAAGACGAAAATAGATTGAAAAGCTTGAATATTAATAAAAATTCATCGTGTATACAAACAATATATTCGAGTGCACATCGTAAATACTATTACAAAAGAGCAGGAGAAGCAGAACGACAAAGAAAGAGAGGAAAAATGCACACATTTCCAATTTTATAGCTTATCATTCTGTCGTAATTTTTCTCCCCTCCCCATCTCAATCTCGCCATGGAAATAATTCAATGTGCACATTTACGAATATTATGCGTGCATTCATATCATTCCCGTTGTGTTAACATAACAGAGGCCATGTGAAGCGATGAATCACTGAACACAGTCATCGTCATGTATGCGTGTATTTTCTTCGGAAGAATTTTTTGGAAAAACCGTGTACATTTCGTTGGAAAGAAAAGGAGAGAGAAATGCACAATCAAGTTGATGATATCATTTTTTACATATTTAGGCACAAAATAGTTTACAAGGATATTAAAAATGAAATTTCATAGACGGTTTGCTTCTTTGTGCCAATACACATTATATACTATGTGTTTATGATGTGACTGGTGACATCTCGTCGGTACCACATATTAAAAAAAAAAAAAAAAAAAAAATCGAATTTTATGCTTACGCAAATGATTCCTAAATATGAATTACAATATTGTTGACTTCAAAAATCCTACACTGAATTTTAACCAAAATAGTTTTGTGTGTATGCTTCAAAGAAAAATGTCTTCAAGCTATGTTACATGGAGTATATTTTATCAAACAGAACATATTTGTGGGAGCATATTTGATTTTCTGAAACTTACAAAATTTCATTTATCACAAAACTGTGGTTTCTTTGCCTCTCTCCATTGAACGAAATAATTCAATTTTCAAAAAAAAAAAAACTATTTAGCATCAACGGTTTTTGTTATATGGTACAAAAACATCGCTATAGCATATGCATTTCCCTGCATGAGTCACATGTATACCAAATTCAGTGAATCTAGCCCAAATTATGACTTACATGGTGTTCGAAATTAGTTTTGTTTCGGCAATTATATCTGCTTTTTCTTTGATTAAACATTTACTTAAGCATTTTTACGATAAATCACCTCTTTGATCTTGATACGTAACTACTCGGTGGTATGCATCTATAAAACTTAGTTGATTAATTAAATTGCATGAAAAGATTGTTTGTGAAAATTTTAATTAAAACGTTCTATCAGAGCATAGCATATTTAATTATACGAATGACAAACACAATTTTAATTTGGCCATCAATTATGCTTGAAGTACTTTTTTTTTTTAATATGACAAACAACTTTGATGACTCATTGATGCAATAACAACAATTGTAGGTATATTCCGAGTGAGTGTACGGCATTTTGCGTTTGATTGCAAAATTGCCGGAGTTTCAAAGAACGAAACTTCACAAAGATTAACTAATCGATGTGTAAACGTAATTGGAAAAGAAACCCATATAAAAAGTTATGCTCTGTTTGAATTAATTGCGTAAATGGTTGATTCTTTTTAATTAGGTTGACAAACAATGGCATTGATGCAGTTGAAGTAATGGAAAGGATTTACTAAAGTACCCCATTTTTCTGTTAATTAAATTTACTTTCATCTATCGAGTTGCATTCATCGAAAATAGAGCGTGCATACCTCATGCTTGTTGACGGAAATGTTCACGAATTTACATTTTTATTGAAATAGAGATCCATTTATTCTTCAAATTCAAATTGGATTTTTCTTTTCGCCCCGAAACTCGGAAAATATAAAACGAAACAGAGCAAAAACAAAATGCAACGAAGAAAGAAAATTACATATTGAGTCTATTGCATCGAGGATTTATGGACATTTCGTTCGATTGTATATTCATGCCAATATTGCAACATAATCGAGTGAGCTCATGAATATGTACACAGACGATATTGTGTCGCGTAAATGTGTTAAACATGCAATCCATATGCTATTGTTCAATTCTTACCGCTCTGACATACATCCAATCCATATACATATTACACATACAATCGTGAATTGTTTCAAGATTTTATTTCAACCAACGGCGTCTCTCAATCTCTATCACTATTTGTATATGAGAGAATGAGACACCTTTTCGCTACGACATCGTTGTTGCTTCTGTGTTATAGCATTTCTTATCAGCGCATTCAATTGTAGACGCTGTACACACACTCTATGGTGAAACCGAATTGCGATAAACTTTTTTTTAGTTTTCTTAATTGAATTGCGACATCGATTCATACATAGCAATGAATCATCGCACGACTAATACGTTATGATGCATAAATTTCGAAGAATTTCCAGGAAAATCAAATGTCTGGTGTGTGTGTGTTTTTTTTTTCTTCACTTGTTTTATGCCAGTACTAAGGAACTTTATAAACGTTTTGCTTGTTCATTTTTGTGATTCTCGTATGTCTGTCTGCCGATTCGTGCATTTGATTTTCAATTCCGAAATGTATACGAATTATAAAACACTGTTTTAGTCATGTTTTCGTTCATTTCGTACTTTTTTTGTTGGCTCAATTGATCGAAAAAGGGAATTTGAAATTGCGAAGGTGATGCTGCTGGAAAAACTAAAACACATACACACAACTTGTCTATGTTTCACTCTCGTTCACTTACCCATGCAATGATGTTGAAACAGAATATGGAATATTTTATGGTCGATATTTGATTTTCCAATTTAGCCATGTTGGCTCCTTGACCATTTCCTTTGCCAGCCATGTCACTTCGTTTCGTTCAGCCTTCTCTTTCTCCAAGTTTTATTCTGCGTTTGCTTATACTGTGATCCGATTACATCGTCACCCCTTTACTTTTTTTTTATTTGGATTCGGTCTACACAAACTCTATGCTTCCAAATTGATTTTCTCTATTTCGAAAGCAAATTTAAACTGATATATTCACACTGATACAATAATAAAATTGAATTGAACGTCAAGCACGGGCTTCAATTTTCAGGTCAATCAGATAACACAATATTAAAAATTGGCTTGTTAAATTATAAATTTTATTTGAAAGTTTTTACTTTAACTAAAATGCCAAATCAATTTACTTTTTTTTAATCAAACACGTCGCTTTTGTAACTATTTGAGTAACGATTTTTGCACAAACTTTTTAAGTTAATCACTGTATACAATGTATGATTTTTTCAATTCGAAAAATGTTCAAATCAAATGAATATCAATTATTTTTCATTGGAATGATATTGAGGAAAAAGAATTTAATTTGAATATCAAGTTAAAAGACACTCACTTGTACTATTAAAACCTCGCCCTATATTCGGGTCACAAACTAAATGTTCGACATCTAATACGATATGAGAATATGTGAAATTCATTGCACGAATTGACTACGATTGTTCATATCATATCTTTGGTTGATTTTTGTGTGGCAATCTATTCGTGTGTTTTCTTCACATGGTTCCGTTTTTTTAAGTGTGTGAATTACGCTATCTATGTCGTTTTGTTATTATTAGTATAAAAATTCATTGGAATTCTTCATTCGTTGGATCTCTTTCGTTGGGATTCAACCTGTTTCGATTACAAAATACATTGTGTGTGTGTGATGTGTGCAGAAAAAGATAATCTTATCTCTTATCGTGCGTTTGTTTGTGAGCGTTCTTTAACTCGCTCGATCTCACAGCGTTGAAGCCGTGACAATATCGCGAGCGTAAGATAAGACAGCCCGCTAGTATGAATACGCGCGATATCTTACACGAAACAGCAACAATAAAATACACACCATGAATATAAGCTCGAAATATGAAAGAGACACCGAAGTGTGATAAAATGTTTGTTGCCTTTTTTGTATTGTTTCGTGTATTCATCCCATTCATCGTTTTGTATGTACATTTTGTTATTCAGATTTTCTATTCTGATCTTTGAAATTAAAATTGGTCTATATACATTCTCAATTGAAGAGATCTCTAGCACACACATCAATCATAAATATTCCGATGTTCGTAAGCATTCGTATTTGCTATTCACGCTGCTCTCTTGCTCCCACTTTTTTGATATTTTTTTTTTGGTTTGATGGGATTGCCGTTCTTTTGATTCGATTTGTTTCGACCTAGGCAGCATGAAATTCGAAATTGAGATGAGGAAAATAAACCATTTTTCATTTTTCGGCTTTGTTTCGCTTTCAACCTTCCAAGAGCGAGCATCATAAAAAAAAATCGCTCAATATTTATGCAAAAAAAAATCATTTTTAACATGTAATCACCATCAACTTCGTCATCATTCGACGAAAAAGATCGAGCGGCTGCACAAAAAGAGACTTCAATGTTAACAAATGTATTTAATTCGTAATCAATTGAATCGAGACATGGACGCAGTTTTTGGGTGTGCTGTATGCTGTCGTGTATGCTTTGTTTGATTTGGTGTGTACGTTGTTTGGATGCGCTCAAGTCCGTTATTGATGTGTTTATTTGATATTTCGCTACAAATGTCATTGCTATTGCTGTTGATGATTTTTATTTTCCGGGTTCTTCGTTCAAGAGATGCAGAAGCCAACATTTTGTAGGAAAAATCAAACATTTTCCATATATGGTTGGATGAACGTGCATTACCGTTGTTAAAATGGCACGCACAAACACAAAACATTTCTCTTCCATTGCCAATCATTTGTTTTTGTGGCTTTGGTCGTACGTATGTGTGAGCGCACGAACGAAATGTTATCAACACAATAACAGTAAAAGCATCTATTATCGTTATCAGGGCGATTTTATTTTTTTCTTCTCTTCTTCACTCGTATTACCTTTTTTTAAAGGAAATTCTTTGAATGAAAAATGTGAACAAACACGCACGATGTGTATGTGTAAATAGACACACCTGCACGTACATTTTGGGTACGTATACGAAATTAAAACGACTATGTTGCAGCGCACCAAATAGTAAACATACACATTCACATTAAAAAGGTTCGAAAAATGCCGAGAGACGACGAAAGTAAACGGAAATCAATGACTAAAAACCTATTTCTGCAAACGTACATACACAGACAGAGAAATGGGGCCAATGACTAATGAATTGAATGTATGCAACATTTTTTTCGCCATATTCACCATTTATTGTCTATATTTCTGTGTGCTCGACGTGGTGCGTATTTTTTTTATTTCGTTTAAGGCCATTGTGATAAGAATTTTATCGTTTTCACAGCAGCCGTACTATACGGTGTTCATTTGCTGGCTTTTATGCGACGATAATGAATGTAAAATACCGAATTTTGGTAACGTTCATTTATACACGCACTCCAGCCTTTTTTTTCTTCTTTTCTTTCTATTTTTCTCTTTCAACTTTATGCGGTCTCTGATTAATGCTATTGATTTCTAATCAAAATTCTGCTGACAACCATTTCACATCATAAACATCTTTTATTTACCTGATTCTAAATCAATGTATATTTTGATTGGATGTTTTTTTTTTTGGCTCGTAGTTTATTATGCATATAGACAACATCAATTATGTGCCTATTCAGTGTCTATTCAGCGTTGAGTTATTTAATGAATTTTCTTTTATCGCCTTTTACCTTTTATACCGGCTGAAAGTGCGTTGGCTTTTCATTGAGATGAAATGCTCGTAATTTATCTCCATCGAATAGATGTACATGTCTATTTTATCCTCAATCCATTTTTAGTTACAAATCGTTAATAAAAAAAAACACACCAACATTTCAGTCGATCTCTTGTAACCTTTTTTCCCTTGTATTTTCACAGTCGTTTTAATCTTGATCTATTTGGTTGATGTTGGGATGAAAATATAACGAAAAAAAAAACACTTTACGATTATGCTGCTTACCAGCTAAATAAATGCGAAGAGTTCCCATCTCTCGTATATCATATGACCACGGGCTGTTTGTCGATTTCTTTTTTAATTTTAGTCCACACAAACATGCAACCAAAGATACGGCGACATTTCGAAGTAGCTGAGAGAAAAAAAAACGAATTTCTCTTGATTGCTTTGACGGAGCGTAGATGAAAAATGTTCGGTAAGCCAACCAAACATGACGGCGAAGATAGTAAACGCATTCGTTCCTTTTTATTTTTCATCATTTTTATACCCTACATGAATCGTTTATTTTTATTTATTTATTTTTGTTGTTTTCTTTCGGTTTTTTTTTCGGTGTCACATCATCAGGATATTTGACAATTATATAGAATGTATGGTGAAAATGACCCAAATCAAATCGGATTTAAGGGTTGGCAATTTATTTAAAAATATTTTCGCATTGTTTTATTTTCCACACATTTCTTTTCTTCAGCTGGTTGGATGTTATTATCTTGGAAACGGTTCGGGAAATTGGAATGGCTTTGCTCTCTCTCTCTCTCGCCACTGTTTGCTATTTCATAATTTAATGTGAGGAAGAAAAAGGACACGTTTTACCATTCGTAAATCATTCAATGGATTGTGTGCTTCCACAAGAAAATCCCTAAATGATATCGAAAATACATGGAGTAAACACAAACAATTTCTCCCTTCATTTCTTATCGATGACACGTACTTTTCCATTTCAAACTATATCACAAACAAAACTCAAATAAAATTTTCAAGTGGATCCAATAAATCGCATCCATACTCTCTAACACACACACAAATTATATATAATAAATAGCCAATTGTAATTCGTATTTGTCTAAAACGATGACGATACATATGTCCTCATTTACACTTATCGTTCAGCGATCATCCGGCGAAATAATAATAACCGGCTCTTTTTTTAAAGCATGAAAAATGACCAATTGTATGGCCAAGAAAATATGATGTTTTATGCAATTAATTTTATGGGAATTTACTTTAAATCCCCTTGTTTTAAATTTGGGCTTAACCCTTTTTTTGTTCTCGACCCCTCCGTTCTCTATCTGCGGTAAGTGTGTATACAAATCAAATGATCTATGGGGGGGGGATTAAAATGCTTTGTATACACAATATACCTATTTCATAACTACTACCTGTGAAAGGACTCCGTTCCACTAAATACATGAACTCAAAAATGGTTCACTATCTGGAGAATGTAGAGAAAGATTTACAACATTTACTAACTATATCATATAAATCATTTACAAGCTCTTGTTATTTTTACTATTTTTTTTGCGTTCGCTCGCTCATTCTTTCTTTCTCCCTTTTCGATTCGGTACGATTTACATATATATTGGATTTATGAATGTACAGTGTACACACAATAAATAAATGGCTGTTCAATTTCATTACAACGCGCATAATAACTACAACTGAATACTCAATGTATCGACTCTAATTACATGGTGAATAAATTATGAAATGAAATCACAACCGTCGCTCAACCATAATTTGTATTTGGATATTCATAGTTTTGAGATTGCTTAAAATAAATGTAAAACTGCATTTTAAAATCAAGTAAAGCGAATGGATGGTTCAATCGCACACATTTTAATGTGTATATTTAATGTAATTTAATTAAAAATTTTGCCAATATTTTACTCAAACAAAAAATATTGCGAGTCAGTCACGAAGAGTTGCAGTTTTCTAAACTTGAATCTACTTCACTGTATTCATCGACTTTTTCAGCCAGACAGTCGATTGATATTGATTTCTTTTTTGTGCCGTATGAATTCACAAAATTCTTAGTTGCGGTAAAAAAAAATTGCAAATTTTAAATGCTTTGAACTTCCAATCAATATTCGTAACGAACTATGTAACGGGCTTTCTAACATGTATTGCAAATTGCTGACACCATCCAGCCATCATCAGCACATAGAAATTATTTTATTTCACCGTCAGAGACGATAATGGAAAAACGGAAACCGTTGTAAGCACAAGCAAATATGAGCGATAAATTTATCTGTTGTCCGGTTTATGAATACTTTCGAAAAGTCAAGTGCCAAACCTGTCTGTGTGTGTTTGATATAGTTAAAACATTTCGATGTAAATATTCAGTGTCTGTAGGTGTCTTTAATTTTGCCCACTGAACAGTTGGATGGTGTTTGTGTGATTCAAAAACATTTGCAAATTATTATTAAAATTACGTGAATATTCGATGTTGTTTTGGCTTAACCGACAGTCCACCACATCGCGTACCATCAGTCTCTTTCTTGGTGCACAGCACTCTACGCAGCACCGCTCCAAAAATGAGACGGATAAGAGAGAACATTGTACTCTAGAATGCATAAAATATCAGACACAAAAAGAGTCAAATAAAATGGAAAAACCAACAAAAAAGTGCTAAGCTTTTCGGTGAATTCACACATAAACCGAGTTTGCATGGCATTCGTCCACTTTGTAGCATACAGCAACACCAACAACAGCAGATGTGGCGCAATAACGAAGGTGATGGCAATCGTATACAAAATCGCTGGCTATAGCCAACTATAGTTTTAGTCAAATAGTAAATGTGCATCCAAATAACAACCAAATGAAACCAGACATCCCGAATTTAGGTTCAAAAACCAAAAAAAAAAATTATGCTCCACACAACAAGTGAAAAACGAGACGAAATTCAACAAAATTGCTTTAAAGAAAATTCTACGTAAACTCAAGAGCAAACATGAAAATGAACGAGAAAAAAAATTATATTTAAATTAATAAAACGTAATGGAGGCTCCTTTTTTTTACTCGATCTCTCTTTATAGTGTGTCGTCTCATACTTTTTCAGCCCAACACTCATTCTCTGGTGTTTTTTTTCTTACCCGACTGGGGTGGGCTGAAGCTGATGGTAACAACGGAATGTTAACATCTACATTTATGAATTTACAATAGAAATACATTTGCATTTCTCTTCTGAAAGACTCTTTCTTTGTGGCCTTTCCATGTTCGCTTAAAAATTCGTTCGAATTAATTACAATTTGATAAAGAAATTTTCTATGGTATTTCATTATTTCAGGGTGCGTTTTTTTTTTCATTTCACTTCTCTCCGTCTCTCCATTCTTCGTTTTCCACTTATTCTCATAAGGATTGCAGTTGAATGCTTTCACAATCAACCACACAACTTTTTTTCGGTGACTCTATGTTAATGTATGTGTCAGCCTCTTTGGACAAATGAAACACAGTTGGATGCGTGTATTCAATTTATAAAAAAATACAAAGAAGAAAAAACACGGAAACGAGAAGTACTCTACGATGACAATCCTTGAAAGTGGTTGCACTCAGATGAACATTTGGCTAGGCTATTTGCCATTTCCGATTTTTTTATATAGACTAAGAGAATTCTCAATGATCTTGACATCGGCATTTGGTTTTAAAAACATGTTCCTCCTCATTTTCTTCCACACCTTTCCTCCTCCTCAGAGGAGCAATCTCTGAAATCCTCGAAAATCAATGGGCTAATAGAGTGAACTTTCTAACACCAAATGAAGGGGAGTCGGATGAATATACACCAAATTCCGTGTAGTATTATAATTTTTACTATGTGAATTCGTGGTCATTGTAATTGGATAAACATTTTTGTGAATAAGACCAGCCATACGCATAAACACACACACAAACTGTGCGTATCGCCAGAGAAATAAATAAAAAAATGAATAAATGGATCATAACCGTTTCTTGAAAATGACGAGTTAAAAAATGTGTCCGCATAAATCAAGTAGATCATGTTTAAATGTTGAACAAGATACCGCGTTCAATTGTTTTCGTCCACTATGGATGATAACAAACCCATTTTGAACAATTCGGTAATTTTCTTTCCTTTTCTCTTATTATCTCAATTGTCGTTTGGCCCAATTATGATAAAAAGTTTTTTTAAAAAATGTTGTGTATTGTTGTGGCTCTTTTTTTGACATGCCGTATAGAGTAGAAAATATTTTGACTTGAATTATTTTGTAAATTTTTGTCAGCATGAAAAAGCTTCGAGTTATTGAAAGCATCAATGTTCAAGAGAATGTGTTGGTTGATGTGTTCTTTTTTCTTAATTGGCAACCTTATGCGAACCATAGTTATGCGGTTGAAATTTTGAAACCATCATCATAATAATAAACGAAAATCCATATCTTTGATGATTTTGTTATGGCCATAGCAAGTGTACTCAGTTGTGCAGTCAATTCAAGGATGAACAAACAACTGGGGATAGATTCTGGTTGTGAAAACTTAACCACTAAACGTAATTGCAGTAACGTGCGTGCGAACACACATCTCTATTTCTACGCTTTTCGTAATATAAAAACTACCCTAGACAACTCCATCAATGGTTCTGGATCGAATGCACCATTAAATGTGAACACAGTGTATGTGAAGCACTCGCTTGTGAAATGTATAACACACAAGATATTTACACGCTACATAGTACACACATACGTATAAATATGGCAATTAGTTTTCGATGAAATATTAAAAAGTTTTTCAGTTAATATTCGGTAGTTGAGAGTTGAAGTGTGAGAGAGAGAGAGAGAGATCGAGAGTGGGAGAGACATGATATGTTGATAAGCTAAATGGACCTCCAAATGCTTTAAGATAGAGTATTTCGGTGTAATATACATTGTGATTTGATGAGATTGAATTTAGTACAGTGAGTAAACATCCTTTAATTGCAAATATTTTAGCAATTCAGACATATTTTACTCATCTCTTTCTCTCCGTCTATATCTATAAAATTGATGTGGATGCTTAATTGTTTCATAAATAAACTCCATAAACTTTTCTTGCATATCGAGATGTGCTGTTTTGCCTGAACATGCGAAATAACTAAAGAGATATTTTTACCCTGTTGTGGGGTCCAAAGAATGCCCATGGATTGCATAACACACGTCCTGAAAACTCAAGAATGGAAAAATAAGCCGAATAAAAAAGAAACTTATTTAATTAAATTGAGCCGTGCAACGATGGTGATGGCATTATCGTTGTCCTTGATGTCGTAGTTATTGTTTCTAACTTGTGTGTATGGCCATCCGTGCTGAAGGTGCAACATTTAAACGCTCAAACATTAGATAATTTATTCGCGAGAATGTGGGCTGGCCATTTGTTTTCTTATGCGTGTGCATAAAACTTTTATAACCTAATAAATCGAAATTCGGTAAAACCGGAACGATACGGCAAACAATTTTGAGAGCGCAAACCCCTCAAAAAATTGATGAGAATCAAAGAAAGATACATTCGACCGGTCACGTAAAATTATAACATAATTGCCAATTGTATGCATACTATGCTAAAAGTTATATCGTTAAAAACTCTACACCGTACACATTTTATGGCTGGCGTTCGTTCGCTCTCTTTCTCTCTCTCTCCGATCGAAATTCATTCGCAGAATTTACGATATCCAAAACGCTCAAACCATAGCATGTGTACAGCAAATACGTACATGCGTCAATTTTGTAACCGTGTTATCTTTGCGGAGCATTTAGTTCGGTCGGAATTTCAGTTTTCGGATTTTAATTACCTTGCGCTTGTGCTATTTTACATTTTGAATCTTCATTTTCGCAGTCGATTTTCCAGCTATTTTACTGCCATTGGCATCTGTTTTCTGTCACCATGATAAGGTCAGATCCAATGATTTTCCGTTTTAAGTGTGTTCATTTGAATTTTATCGACTCGGTCGTAGTCATTTTTTTTTCTTTTCAAAAGACATTCTCAAAGAGTGAAATTTCGCCATCAAAAGAAACAAATCTATGAGGGCATGAAGTGACAAAACAATTTCGATTCAAACTCAAGATGAAATGGAATGGAATTAATATGTGCTTTTCAGATATTTTCTTTTTATTTCGAATCGAGTTTTCTCATGTTGTATCGATATAATTGCCGAGAGTATTGGAAGCATACAAACGGACAATTTAACATGAACTCTTCTAGTACGACCGGTTTACGTATGTTGTTTTAGTTCAGAGACAGAGAGGGTGTGTGTGACAAATCGATATAGGAATAGGAGCCAGCGACATAGCAAGGTGAGCACGTTGACAATTGTGCTGGAATTTCGAATTGTAGCACATCAAGCATAGTTAAAATAACGAGAATTTATCTCACATTTTTTTCCAACTTACCTCTTTCTTGAACAAGCGATTTTCTTCCAGTCGGCTATAAAACTTATTCCCGTTTATTTTTATTTTGCACAAAGTAGCAAATGCGATACACTCATTTAAACCACGTGCAATTGCAACATTCAACTGAAATGGAGAAAGAAAATAAAAGAAAAAGAAACTCGCACCTATCTTTCTGCACCTTCTTGTTTCTTTCTTCACATTTATACACATTTTCACAACAAGCCTGATTAAGTTTGTGCTGATAGATAAAGTTATTGACTCTTTCTCTCTCTCGCTGTACATTTTCAGCGAGATCGATTTTTATTTTTGTTCGGCATACAAACTTTTCACACAACGATTGCCAATTCAACCGACATTTTTCCAACAGCTTGGGTTACCAGCACAGAAAACGGAGACAACTTTGAATTGTTAAACTCTTGTTGTTTTGTGACTTTGTGTCACTATGATGCAGGGTAAATGTAATGTAATTTTAACATTGAAATCTTTATGGTGATGCGCGTCCAAAACTCTCTGTTTAACCCCCTTTCTCTTCCTCCTGCTCTCTCTCTCTCTCTCTCTCTCTCTCTCTCTCTCTCTCTCTCTCTCTCGTTCATTTCAAATTTTAAATTGTAATATTTTCCAGCATATCAAAATGTGTAACTACCAACATGAATTCCATTCATATTCCATTTCAGTTGCTATTGTTTTTCACCTTTTTGATTTTATGCTGTTGTTCGGGCCTAGAATGCGTAGCAATTTGATAGCTTTCGGTCGTTTAATGGAAAAGAAGCAACAGTAGCTCACCATGTCAGATGCTCGTTTGCTTTCGTTTGTTCGCTTCATAAAAACCAAAATGACTATTTTGCGATTCATTTATGGATGTTTTCGGTTATGTTGCCCAATAAAAATGAAACATGAAACTTGGTTTTATGCTTAAATTTTATTTATTATTTCGTATAAAAAAGGACACAATTTAGTTAAGTTATTATCTAAAATGTACAAAACTTAATTTAGAGCTTCATTTCCGCATATATTATGCGTCAGTATATGCGTTTGTATTTGTGTGCGTGTGTATATCTGCTGTAGATTTCGGTGTTTTTTAAGCTTCGTAATTTTTTTTTTCGTTCTCAACTGAAATTCGATTTCGGTGGAATTCAGACGAATTGGGCTATAAATTTGTGTACTTGACAGGTCGGAAAGAGTGTAAAATGTGTATGCGGTATTATGGGATTTTAAGAAATTTTACAATTCGAATAACTTTTAATACACAGAAAGAGGGAAAACCAGCACGACACACAGTGCAGCCGTTGATTTTATGTTTGTATTCTCAATTTTTCTTTTGTTTCGTGTCGATTTGTGCTGTGCCATTTCTCGTTCATAGTTTATAGCCTCGAATATTTTCTCTTTCTCTGGCTCGTCATTCATTACACACTCGAAATCGAATACTTTTTTTTACGCATTGGAAGACGCCCGACCAATAATAAAAACTGACGCAAAATAAAGTATATGCATTCATATAAAAAAACGCACGCACATACACACAACTAAATTGGAATAATAAAAAAATGATTAATGACACCGGCGTCTATGGAATAATTTTACGTAAATTTATTTGCTGTTTTTTTTTACTCTTTCAATCTATTTCCTTACATATGTAGTTGAACTAAACGGCTATTTAGTTTATTCTATTGTGTGTCGCTGTTTATGCAAACCGTATTTATTGCATAGGCTAAAGTAGGCATTATTCGAATCGATTTTGGAATGTGTACACGTACGGGGTGAAAGAGGGATTGAGATTGAGAATATGTTTTTCAACCAATTTGAGATAGATAGAGAGAATGCGTGACTTTCTACACGTGAAGAGAAACAACGAAAGAAAAAGAAGAAGCAGAAACATCAAGAATGAGAAAGAAGAAGGAAGTAAAATGCAATTGCCATACGCTAGTGATTGTGTGTGTATGTGTTAGAAAGCCGATTTTGTTGAATAGAGATTATCTAGCAGAAATTATTTGCAGGCACTAACAAGAATTCATCACGTATTTTCCGCTGTGATGGTTCAATTTTCTATTAACAAATTTTCTATTTCCGTTCAATTCAAGCGTGGTATCACTTCATTCTCTATTTTCCATATTCTCCATCATTCTTTCCCCCTTTCTTCGTTCCATTGCCCCCGCCCATTCTCTCTCACTGTGTGCAGCATGAACGTGTTGGGCCAGTACATTTTAACACCAATATGCATTGTTGCGCTTAATCTAAATTGATTTAAGCATTGGCTGGAAATAAATGGCTGGTTATATGTTGACGCTGCACAATTTTTTTTCAGCCCCGTTCAATATATTGGATGGATGCGTGTAATAAAACACACTGGAATAATTTAAAAATACCAATACTTATGGTCTATACATTTTAAATTAATGCTAAATAAAAAATAAATGATAATGGTAATCATTTGATTTGATCAAACTGTGAAGAGATAAAGGGACAAACTATGTTTGCATATGTTGAAAAAAGGGATATGACATGAAAATCATCATCCAAAAATGTGTGTTGACAGGAAAATGATTCAAAATAAAAAGAAAACGTTTTAAACAATTGGATACATTCTAACTTTTCCTCTCACCGTCGATTGTTTGTTTCTTCGTCGCTTTATGTATATATTGTGTGTCTTTTACACTGAAAAATGTTCACTGCTGTTTTTGTCACATTTAAATTGCTCGTTTTATAACGTCTTCGATTCGTTCTATGATTCTTCGACGCGTTCGACGTATTTGTAATATAAATCTATTTCACACTGCCGCTATTTTCCATCATTGTGAGAAGAAGAAGAAAAAAATACTTTGCCATTCTGGGGTCTTCATTGCTCTGTTTTCTTTTGCCTCGGGAAGCACATCATAAAAATAATGGCGTTTGTTTAAACACACGAGTGCAAAAGGGGACCGATGTTAAAAGTGATGAGGTTGGTAATAATGATTGTGAATCCACTTTTCCATAATACGTATTCAGAGAAGTCGAGTCACTGGGTGGTATGCATACATAGGAAAGTGTATGAAATCGATTTCGCCAGTTCAGCAAGTGGAAACGATCGAAAAATGTTAACTTTTAATGCTTCCATTATTTAATTGATTTTTCCCTTGTTTTCTCCAGAATATTTGTTCATCAAAGTCCCAGCTCCGATATAAGGTCTTCAGTTCAGATGAAATGAATATCAGCACTTTGGTAAAATTGAAAAAAAAAAACGAACGAGCGCTCATCAAATAAACGTGTATGAGCAATACAATGAGTTTTTTTAAGAGTACGCCATGCGATTTATGTATACAATATATATTTCACGATGAATATGATTATTATGCTTCATAAAATGACAGTGACTGCGAACTCAATCGTTTGACATAATAGGAACGATAATATTAAATCAAAATTCATCGCTGTTGTTTGTACACTATATATGTGGCACATCATTCTTTTTGTCTTGTCGTTTTCGTTCGGGATCTGAAGGAATGCTCCGGCAAGCAATCGCGAGCGCAATGCACAACAATGTGCGGATGCTAAATTGTTTTCAGCTCATTGAATTTCACTTTGCCACGTACATGTGTAAGTGTGTGAGTGTGAGTTTGTGTGTTGTCAATAGGAATGGAAAATATTACGATTGAATAGTGTGAGCGATGTGAGTAAGGAGAAAACAAATGGAACAAGAGACACTCGTGTAAAAAAAAACGAGCAAGAATAGCATCTCAGCAACATGTAGAAAATCTGAAGCGATACAATTTTGATATGTACGATTCATTGTGAAAAACAAACGTGCAAATTTACTTTACCGAATAAACAGAATATCGCCGAGTGATTGTGTATTTCATTGTAGTGACAAAAAGAAAATGCTTGAAATGACATGAAAACATCTCTCTTCTTTATCTCGATTCATTGTCGACACACGCAACGAAACATATTAAGACAATCGAGTAAATCTTTATGTATTATTTTATATGTTGGAATTGAAATCGGCAGCAACTTTCAACGTAGATATTTCGTTGTCAATTTAGTTTTTTCCCCTTCTTGTTGTTGTTTGGCGCAACAACATCAAAAAAAAAGTTTTTCGAATAATTTGATTTCTCTTCCCATTTGTGAGCATTCCACTGTCACAATATTAATGTATGAAATTGTTTTTCCAGCATTTTTCGCTTAACATTTCTATTACTCTCCAGATATTGTGTACAAAACAAATGCTTGAACTCACAAGAATATATGTGAAGAGAAGGAATTAAAATGAAGTAATAGAAGTAGCACCGAAAAGCACCCATGAAAATCTATTTTATTTACACTTATACTATCTAAAAAAAAAAATTGCGAAATGGAATGAAATGAAACGAAAAAAAAAAAAACAGAAAGAACAAAATGTATTATAACATAACATTTACTCGCGATTCAATGCTAAAAACCACGACTCATATTTATGCCATCGGCTTTAGCTATGTCTATATCCATAAAGCGCCTGACGCTATGCAATAAAATGTTGGAGGGTAAAATGATAAATTTATTCAGTGACAAATTACTATTCAAATAGGAATTCAAATTTTGATGCACGAAATTCGTGCACTGTATTAAGAAAGAGAGAGGGAACGAAATAGGTAGGACACAAAAATAAATAAAGTTGGATTTTAAGAATTTTTTGAGTGAATGAAGTTGGCGAATGTGTGAGACTTTTCACCCAATTGGTGTCTCGGAAAACAATTAAATGTCAAATATTAAAAAAAAATGCAAATTAAAATGATTAGAATTTAAAATTGAATGGTGATGGGTTGTTTGTAGCGGTTTACTCCTACATTAATAGACTTTTACAATTACACCCCAATCACTTTTTCTGACCAAACTAACAATATTTCGGTCATGGGTGTCGAATGTTTGTTTAACGAAATACAAGGTAAAATTCGTATCAGATTATGACAGATTTCGGCCACATAGCAAATGTAATTACAAAATATAGTAAAATTGGAATGTGTTGATTGAAAATAAATTTGGCTAACACGAACATTGTAAATTTGTATTATTTAGCAAATCTATTTCTCTCTCTCTCTCTCTCTATTCATCTCCTGCATTCTTCCTTATTTGCGAATCTATTGATTCGTTCACTCTTTTGCTGACTACATAAATTGAATGTGATTAACCGACGAATGGAAATTGTGCGTATGGAGCTGGAAAGTATCCGGGGAATGCAGCTGTTGGTTGTACGATTGGTAAAGATTGTGTTACGTAAGTGGTTAATATGGTTGGTACAACGTTCGTTGAAAAAAGTGTCGTATATGCTGTTTTTGCGCCAAATGTTAATTTCAAGATTTTGCTTCGTGTTTCGGTGACCATAGTTTGTGTTACGATTGGAGCTGTTGTAATTTGGAATTGTTGTGGTTGCTGAAATATTGGATTGATTGGTGGCGGTATTGGCAACTGAGGTAACTGAGGCAACACCGATGTACCAATCTCATATTCTGTTTTGCTTACAGTTGCAACAGGTCGTGATATTGTGCTAAATGTTGTTGATACACCATTGAATATTGGAATCGTATGCGATTCATACAGGGTTTCAAGTTTAACGATTGGCTTTGATGTGGTTATTATGCTTGGAAATTGGGCGGCTGCAGCTGGATTCAATATCCGCAACAATGCCAATTGCTCGGCACTCAAACTTTGCATTACGGGATCAATCAATGCCGACGATGTTTGATGTTGTTGGTATTTTTCAAGCGATGGCGTGATTGATTGTTCGTTTGGTATTTTTGTTGAAATTTTCTTCTTTGGTCTCAAATGACCTTCTGGAATGTTTGATTTATCCACTTCGGATAAATCAAATGATGAACCAATATTGGCCAAATCCAAATCGTCGGGCAATTCATGTCGTACAATGTCTTCGTCGTCGTGCTCATTATCATCACCGAAATCCAATTCCAAATTCAATTCGGATCCGGCCTCATCTAATTTACTATTGAATTCCTTTAGTGCTTTTGTTGGATTAAAATGATAAGCATCCATTGGTGGTAGCGTTTTTGTGGCCGTCACTAGACGCGTTACCAAATAAGTTTGTGTGAGTGTGTAGCTAGTTGCATTGCCACCACCTTGATGCAGTACCGGTAATATGTGTGTCTTTAACATTGTTTGTGTTGTGCTAAATGTTTCGGTTAGAGTTTCAAGTGGCGGTGTTTCAATGTCAGATGCTAAAATGAGCGGCGGCAATGTAGCAATGCTTGAATCCAATAAATTATTATCACGATCATAGTGTGCGGTTGTAGCCAGAATATTTTCCGTTAATGGACCGCTAATTGATGATGTGACACTTGGTTCGGGATCTAATGTTTTTTCAAATGTTGATGTTACCGTGACATATCGTGTATTTCGCACAGATCCAACCTGAAAACGAAAAAAAAAAACACCAAACATTTTATTCGTCGCGATATTCTTTTTTAACTTTCAATTTCGAAGGGAATTGACATTTTAATTGTTGCAAAATGCTTTTATTACTCACTTGATAGGTGTATGGTGATTTGATGGTTGCAATTTCATAGTAGGTATCCTTAAAATCGGCTGGCGTTGAAATTTCCACTTTTAATGTTTCAATGGGCAATTTTTTGCTAACAATTGCATTGTCCAATGTTTCACTATCGTCCAATACATCACCATTAACCGAACCAGATGAATCAAGATCGGTTTCGGTGCCAGACTGTGATTCGGACACAACAACTCGTTCTTCTACATCTCCCGATTCGTGATGGCTGCTTTCGTCATTTTGTTCACCATGATATGCAGACGATTCATGTATTGTTGGTGTCATGGACTCAACATGCGGTTGTAAATCTTCTGAATTCTGCTTTCTGATTGTGACTCGCGGTTTTGGTGTAGTTTTATATTGCCAACGACCTGGTTGACGATTTAATTTAAACTTATAAAAACTGGATGTTGTTTGATCTTGTTGTTCGACTGCAGCCGGTTGAATTTTTGGCTTGAAACGTCGGGTGTAGATTCCGTCATTGTTTGAATTTTGCTGTTGCTGTTGCTGTTGCTGTTGCTGTTGCGGGTGTTGTTGTACGCTTGTTTCTTTTAGCGGCGCATTTTGTGGCTTAAAGCGGTTAGCTTTATTCCGACGATTTACGTATGCAGTCGACGTTGGTTCGCTTAATACAGCCGACACCGTTGTTACTTCAACACTTCCGGATGCTGGTCGATTGAAGCGACCGCTGCTTAAGCAAAAAGAAAAAAATCAAAATGAAAATTAAAATAAATGAAAACGATTTAATTTTCACTTCGGCTCAAGTGTCTCAAGGGAATGATTGCTTTTAAATGAATTTACCTTTTTTGTGATTTATTTATGGTGCGATTTTTCTTATACGATGCCGTGACAGCGGCGGCTGTTGTAACTTCAACTGATGCTGATCCATCGCTATATTCGACATCATCTTTTTGTGCGGACGACGATGACGATGGTCGATTGCTACGGAAACGATTTTTAAAAGTGTTTGACGAAACGGCCGGACGTCTTGAATTCCGTACGAGATTTTGTTTCGCTGAGCTGCCATAAATTTCATCAACTTCCTCGCTTTCAACGGAAGCCGATTGTTGTTGGTGTTGCTTTGCAGCCGATGTCGATTCAACCACATGCGTTTTCTTGGGAATATGCGGTGCGGCCGTTTTTAATACACGCAACGAATGTGTTGGTGCAATTTTTGCCTTATTACCATTACCATTGTAAATGTGAGATGTGCTTTGCAAAACTTGTGCATATTTACCGGATATATATGTACCAAGAACGCTTGTTTCATGCACAGTTGTAACACCATCTCTGACAACCGTGCCACCTAATTTCGTAACCAAACCGGTTGGATGAATATCATCACTACGTGGCTGTGCTGCTACTACCTGCGATGGATGCACTTTTTTATTATTACCATTATTATGATCTTGAATGGTACGTGATTTAAGATTGTATTTTGAATTTGGAATTTTATTATTGGCGGGCAACCGATATGTTTCTTCGGTAAGTTCACTTGGTTCTCTCGATAAAAATTCATATTCCGGATCGTTGATGTTATTCTCGACTGGTGTCAGCTGATCCAAATCTTCGCTGGTATGAATCTCAACGATGCTCCTACAAATAAAATATTCAAACGAAAGAAGAATAAGAAGAAGAAAAAATTGCTTAAATTTTTATCGAAAATTAATTCCAGCCACTGCGTAAAAATGTGCTGAAACACTTTGTGTGCCTATCGGCTAATGATAAAATAAGAATTGAATGAAGAATGAATGCATAATTTGCCTATGTGAGATTTCGAATTGGAAATGATGAGAAGAAAACGAGAATGAAAGAAAAGATGAACAAACAATAAAATGAAATTTGATAATCAACGCACGATTCGGATGGCGAGACACCGCCAACGACTTCAACGCGACTCGGCAAAATCGTTGAATATTCACGTGAATTGGCTCCATTGCCACCAGCATCAATGGCTTCAACATGTACAACCGATTTTGGTGGTGATAATGGTGGTAATTTTTTGCTGTTCTCATCATCAATCACTTCAACGTGACTGGACACAATTTGCACTTTTGATGTTGCTGGTTTAACTGGTGCATTTTGTGGTGTGATCACCGGATTTGCTGCGACGACACGAACAACACTAGACAATTGCTTCGTTGACTTGGCCACTGGTTTTGTAGGTTTAATTTCCGGCTTTGATGTCGTTTCTATCACCGGTTTTGTCTCAATCACCGGCTGTATTGTTTTCGGTGGAGCATTTGTGGTGGTTGTCGATTTTGGTGGTTCTATCGATTGTAAAAATGAAAAAAATGCAAAACACTTTCTTAAAATCAATTGATTAAACTACAAGGTATGTACGAAATAATAAGAAGATAGAAAACAACAACAAAACAGACAATTCAATTTCCTTTTTCATTATCAAATCGAACAATTTAATTTGAACACGAACCGACCACAATATTCTACGGAATATGTTGTTGGTGTCTCGTTTATTCAACTCGTTCCAATGAAAATTGATCGCATTTTCTTCGAAATACCAAAATTAATTCGTTTGAATTGCTTATTTTAATATACCAGCTTTTCCAGCATAAAGAGTTCGTTTCTCAAAATCTTTGTTCGACCAACAAACGAAGAATTGGAGAAAGGGCAAGACATTTTAAATATAAGACTCACCTGGTGGTGGAGCACTTTGTGGTGAAAATACCATTACCGTATTACCAATGGTCGTCGTAAAATCTAAAAATCCGTAAACCGTTTGCGTGACTAAATTGGATGGCGCTTGTGTTGCGTGCTCGGCTGCTGTACAACAACACGCACTTCCTAGTGCTGTTGTTTGAATGGGCCAAAGTCGTCGTCGTCATCGTCGTGGAACAGCAATAGCACATGACGATGGCGAAAGTATATTAGAGAGTAAAATAGAAGAATAAACAAGCATACGAAAATGAATTTGCTCAGAAAATACGAAAATCAAATCAGATTGAATGAATGCAATTTAGTTTTCACCGCGTGATCTAAACAAATGTGCGCTCAAATAACGAGTATATTTTGTATATGCAGATTTCGTTGACTAGATAAAATTGGATTAATTGCTTTTTGCTTTCATTTTGCCTCCTTATTTATTTGCATTTGATTTTGCCTCGTTGATTGAACGAGCCCAAACATCATCATCATCATCATCATCATCATCATCATCGTCATCGTCAACAACAACAACAACAGCAGCAGTAGCAGCAGTTGCAACAACAACAATATCAAACAAGAAATCAGCGCATAATAAGCAAACGACCTGATCAACGTGTGTATCTAAACAATTGTATTCGATTTTCAAAAGAGGAACCACGGCTGCCTCTGCCGCCGCACATCACGTATTTTATTGCATTCATTCACTTGCTCCGTTCCATTTCGAAACATTATATAGTTTAGTTTGTTGTACAACGTACATATATATTTGGAAAATAGAAAATTGCAATATTTACCTAATACTAAAGCTAGCGAGAAATGAACGCTTGTCGATTTCATCCTGTTTAATTGTGTATCTATACACTACATACACTTATCAATAAATTAAGACAAACAATGATCAAGCTCAAAAGCTTTCTCACAAATGCGAACCAAACACAATTATTCAACTGCCAATATTTGTGCAAGTTTTTTTTTTGTTTTTGTTGTTTGCATATGTATTAGCTTCAATCATTTACTATCTATCCTTGTTTTCCTTGAGTTGTATTTGGCTTCGTCGGCAAAACAACACTGTCTGCACTAAACTATTATGTTCTTGGAAATCGTCTTTTTTTATGCCGGTTGAATTTTCGCGGTGAATAAATTTCGTTGATTCAATCTGAAAATGAAAGAAAAAAAACGCTGAATAAATTTAAGTCATTTTCAATTGGTGAAAATCGCATTATCACTTAAATAGAAATATATGCATTTTTTTCATTGAATATATAAATGCATATAACTGTAGTAAATATAATTTATTAGTATTCAATATAGTCAGCCATTTTTCCGTTTTGGAAAATCAAACGTGATGAGAAAATTGAAAATTCATACTGGATCTTTCTCGTTCTCTTCTTTCTCTCTCTCCATTCGATTTATGAATTATTCATGATATCAAAATTATATCATTATATTCATTTACACTTGCGAACTGTACTATTTGCATGCATTTCGGAGACAAAATGCAAGAACTACACTCCATTGATATTTTGAGTTGTAATTTTGCCAAACATATTTAGTTAATAATGTCGACAAAATCAATAAATCGCTTATAGATTTCCAACTATTTTCGACACCATATCTCTTGCTATTACTCCATGTCCCGTTGATCTGCATGATTATTTACATAATTTCCATGGAATACATTTGGTAGTTAGTATTTTTTTGTGTGGTTGCAATGTGCGTGTGCGTAAACTATGCCGACCAAAAACATTGTCACGTTGCATTTTAATACATTATAGCGGTAAGGTAATTCAAATAAAATCGCTTCGAGAGCTTTATCAATTCAACAAAATCATGAAATCATTTTCATGAGCATATTTTCAATCAAAATGATATTATTAGCGAACACATTTTTCCCAAATGGATTTACGTGTTTGCTGTGTGTGTTTGAATTGAAAATGTTGCGTTTTATCACGCCATCTTTTGGACTTGTTGCGCCAGCAGCTTTAGAAAAAAAAAATATCATCCGTTGTTTTTTGAATAAGCAGAGAGCCGAGAGAGAAAGAGGGTGAAAACTTACCGAAAATGTTTCTTTTTGACAAGGTAATGTGTTTTATGATTACAAAAATGATTTCTCATAAAATGAACGTTGAACACGACATGGCAAAACCTCTGGCTACATGTTGGTATGCAAATATTTATATGGTGGTCTTTTCACTGATTTTCCACAATAATTTTCGTACATTTTTTTCTCTCTCTTACTGTTGTCCTCGTTTTGTTTGCGACAAAGCGCCGCTGCTGCTCGGAAAATTAGCATACAAAACTTCCATAATTCATTGTGAAAACACGTAACAATTGTTTGTTTATTTGTGAAACAATTATGCTTTCTAATCGAATGAAAATGGAATTGGCCATGTGCATAAATCGATTTATGCTGCGTTTACCTTGCCACTGATGTATTATGCAACAAATTTTGTGAAGTCATCAAATGAATGAGCGAAAGAGTGATAGAATGAGATGCAATGTTAGAATTTCAAATGTAATCGTCACTACACTCCGCTTCCAGTCGACCATTGTTGAGATTGCTGTTGAGTGTACACTGTACACATACATTTATATATATAAAACATTTGCAAATCATTTGCATAATCGGCATATATTTAATTAACACGAAGCACGAGCGCAAGAAATGAAAATAACATCAATCGGGCTGATCGACGGTGTTCTATATCTAAATATTGGATCAGTCAAATTACAGAAATAGAAATGTTGCTGATTATTCACATTCAACCGTACTAAAAGTACATAGTGTTGAATTGAGCGAATCCAAAGCGAAATAGCTTATTTAAATCTTGTAAATGTCCTGAATTTATTTGCACAGCTCATAACCACACCCGATTTCTCGATTCGATGCAACGAAGAAAATAGTTGTCGAGCCTGAATTTTACATGGTTTTCGAATTGATTTGAAATATGTGTGTTGTGTTCCAACTTTACGAATCCACACACACACACATATTATTATAATAAACAAAATGGTAATGATGATGGGCCACCGTTTTGCAATCCAATTAGCACACTCAGATCGGCTGACCATTAACCACTAGCTATTAATCAAATTTTGCATACGAGCATGCGAGTGTATCTGTGATCACTTATCCAAAATTAATAATACAAAACCAAACATATATCTGTATTTGTCACGCTGTGATGCATTATGTGTTTGTGTATTTGTGCTTCTTTTGCGTCAGATAATGTACTCACATTTTAGTTAATAACAAATAGCAGACTGCAGACACAGCAGCTTAATGTGTAAAAGACAAAAATACAGTAATGAGAGTGAAAAAAGAGGTGGATCAACTCTACATTATATTTTCATGTATTACATTTTACATTCTTTCACTTTGGATCTCAAAATTTATCAAAAGTTACCTTTTTGCACGTTATTTTTTATGGTAAGATCTTATATTTTCTAATCGAGCTTTCTGAAGAACGCAACGTTTTTTCTATTTTACTGTCTCATAACTGTTGATGGGTTCAAGTGAGTTTATAAAACATCTCTACGAACCACTTGCTTCAAAATTCCATGACCATTTGACTTGAATAAAGAAGCAAAAATATCCAAGGATTTTTACTTAAAAAACTGAGAGAGAGAGAGAGAGAGAGAGAGAGAGAGAGAGAGAGAATTTTTGGTATTCTTATGTGTGTAAGGAACAGACAATATATTTAGCTGCCGTCATCTGGATATTTCAGCTCATCTGTTTCACTTCTATTGTTTTCACTTCGTATCATCTGCTGACGATATCCAGATGAGCTGTAATATCCAGATGACGACAGTTAAATATCTGCTAAGGAAACTAAAGACGTTTATATATTTAAAAAAAAGAGAATCAGAGAGTTGAACTATTTTCCTGCGTCGTAAAATTTATATATAAAAAAGTAAAAATTTTCAGGACTGTGTTGATGTATGCGTCAGATTCACGTGTAAATGATTCAAACCCCAGTCAATTAAATGTGCTGTCATATAGCAATATTGTAAATTATGAGAACACATAAATCATGTAAACACTGTGAACATTATTAGAAATTTGCTAAATGCGTCATTTTCAGTCGTAATTGTCATTTGCCCAAGTGCGACTAAAGACAATGGACAAGTTATTCCATCGTAGTGAGAGACTTTAGCAAGTAAATAAATGATGATATACGAATATTTGTAAAATTAAATAATTTACATTTACATATAAAACACGTTGACTGGTTTTCACGTAAGTTTTCACAATTTTGGTATAAAATGTTGCCTCATCATCATGATGAATAAAAGATCAAAGGCTTCATTCGCGTAACTAGAGACAAATGTAACGATGAGAGTAATTCTAAAGAATGATGGGGTGACATTACCAATCATTATAAATGTATCATGCAATGTAAAGAAAACTTTTATCGAATCGAAAACCGTTTGTCGCAATAAATTCGATAACTCCACAGTACTCCACAGCGCATCACAGCAATGAACGCAATCCTATATTGATATGTTATGTTATAAATATTAAATGAGTGAATACGAATAGAATCGTGATTAATAGTTTATTTGTGAATTGAAAACTCGCATTTGAAAAGATGATGATTATGATGATGATGATGATGATGATGATAATAATACATGTAATGTAGTTTGTAAGTATATGCGTCGGTGTCTATTATAATTAAGAGTTTTGCTTTAAAATATTTCGATTTGTGTAGCGAAGGAATTGAAAACGAATTTTTGGAAAATTAATGGTGTGTGATCGCATCGTATTTATTAAATCTCAAGTTACATGTATCACATATCGTAAAACGTCCATGCCAAAGTTATTGTGTATAAATGTATTTTCGGTAGTAAAAAAAACTATCGTCTCATCGTGAACGCATTCAAATGAGAATGGCAAAGAGCATTTTCATCCGAATGTATTTTATAAGGTTGAGTTAGAGAGAATATATGGAGTGGATTGGTTTTAATAAAAGTGCAAACGATAGAATTTGCTTCAACTGCCATTATATAACATAAATGATGGTAGTATAGTCATGATATTGTACACCCGTATCCATGGTTATTTATTAACATAACGAATTCGGTGCGAAACCGGCGTGTGCTCAAGAGTTTCGGCACACGCATATGAAACATCCGCCTCCGCCATCCTCCACACACACAAACAAACACAATCGGAATATGCTAAATATCATCAATGGTATAACATTTTCCGTGGTTAAGCACTTAGTTTTTATGATCGTTTTTGATGTTTGAAAATGAGTGCGCCTGCAAACTGGCCACAATTTTGCAAGCATATTGTGTCATTGGCCATGCAAAATACACAACCGTGCTCCAACCGTCAATTTATTGATGGTCACATTGCACACCGTTTGCCATAGCACCAATTTCCTCCGTATATCTAAAGAGCCACCGTCATCGTCTCGTTGACGTTTTGTACAATTGCCACCATATTGTGCCAGCATGTCGGGATATGCACGCGTGCTCGCACACGCTTAGGTGTTTGATTGGCAAATATTAGGGAAGAGAGCAGTTATTGCTTATTGTTCATTGCTTCATTAAAATGTTTGTACAGAAACAACAGTTTAATCGCTGTTACGAAAATTATTTTTGGCTTCGTAGTTGCAAAACATAAGCGCACGTTTACTCTCTTTCTCACACACACACATCATATAGAAAGACTCAATTCGAAATCGGAGATATTATGGGAATGGAATGCGTACGAAAAGGCTCTAGGTTACAATCACAACTGAATATTGGCTGAGGCTAACAATGCTTACAGTAATAACAATGACAGTAACCACTTTTAATTGGTTATGATATTCGATAATGTGTGCCAAAAATTACCTGGATGTACCTGGATATAAATATATGCAAATGTAGTTGGAAAGTATAATAATAGTGCTACAGCTTCGAAACAAGCCAACACTAAGCACCAATTTATAATCTCTGCCATTGTTGATCATACTAATTTTCAACAAATTTTGCATTCCCACAAATGCAAGACTGTCTTAGAGAAGTGCTTTACATACGAACATACATGGAGATGTAGTTTTTGTTTGAAAAAAAAAATCCTCCATTTTTAATATTGGTGTCTTTTTTTTGCGGTGTTTCAGTTTAAACTTTAATTCTTTCAGCTCAACATTTTTGCTAAAA